GGGTGATTGTCCAGGTTTTAACACTTCAGAGAAGATCATAGAGGCTGGACAGTTTACATACACTCGCAGACTTCAAGGAAAAGTAGTCTTACCAACTTAAGTACAGGTGGGGACCCTCACACAGAATGGAAACTGATCAAACAAATGGAAATGCTAAAGCTGAAGACCCTGATACCTACGATGGAAAGTCCCCTAGATGACTGGCAAAACAAATTAGCCAATCAGAAGAACAGAGAGTGGGAAATGTGAACAGTCTCAGCACCATGGGGACGGATCCCAGCACCCTGAGGTGTGTAACTAGAGACCCAGAAGTTGTGAAGAAAGAGGGGAAACAATAAAAAGATACTTTGAGGGGCACCTGGGTGGCTCAGTCGTTAAATGTCTGCCTTTGGCTCAGGTCATGATCCCAGGGTCCAGGGATCAAGCCCTGCATCGGGCTCCCTGCTCCGCAGGAAGCCTGCTTCTCCCTCTCCCGCTCCCCCTGCTTGTGTTCCCTCTCTCGTGTCTCTCTCTGTCAAATAAATAAAATCTTTAAAATAAATAAATAAATAAGATACTTCAAGAAAATTTCCTAAATGTGGTAAAACATATCAATTCACAAATCCAAGAAGTTCTAACAAACCTGTAAGTACAAAGGAAACCACACAGACCGCTGAAAACCGGAGCGGAAGAAGAAAACCGTGACAGCAGCAGAGATAACGGGCCCATGCTGTGCAGGGGACAGCAATGCACGCAGTCCCCAGGCCCAAAGATAGTGGGACACAAGCCTCTTGAAAGTGCTTCAAAGCAGAAAGATGTCAATCTGCCAAAATTGGCTTTCAGACATGAAGTCCAAGGAATGACCTTTTCAGAACAAAAGGTGAGAGGATTCGGCAGCGGCCCCAGAAGGTTTTTCAGGCTGAAGGGAACCGGGTGGTCACTCATATCCGTAGGAAGAATAAGAACTGCCAGAAGTGGTAAATAGGAAAATCTGTCTTTTTTTCTTCTTATTTAGTGGCTGTTAATGTAAGAATTACCACACTGGCTTTCATGCTTACAGTGTATGTAGACTTTAAACATTTGACAGCACAGAGGACAGTGGGGGCAGAATTAGGCTCTTGCAACATTGTGATATTTTATTTGAGGCGGTACATTTTAAATTCTAAGTAGACTGTGAGAAAAAACATGTGGTAGTTGTAAGAGCAACCACTTAAAAAACAAGAAGATATAGCTAAAAAGCTAGTGAGCAAATTAATATATTAAAATTGAATACTAAAAAATAGTTGATGCAAAAGAGGGGAGGAAAGGAAAAACAGATTTTTTTTTTTAATGGAGCAAATATAAAACAAACAGCAAAATATTTGACCTTATAACCAGCACATAGTTGAGCCTGGTTTTTGATCCAGTCTAACAACCTCTGCCTTTTAAGTGGAATGTTCAATTCCTTTATATTTAATTACTTCCTCATATAAGAGGATTACCTCCACTATTAAAACATAGCTTGAAAATAAGGGAATGGATGGGGCGCCTGGGTGGCTCAGTTGGTTAGGCGGCTGCCTTCAGCTCAGGTCATGATCCTGGGGTCCTGGGATCGAGCCCTGCATCAGGCTCCCTGCTCGGCCAGAGGCCTGCTTCTCCCTCTCCCACTTCCCCCTCACGCTGTCTCTCTCTCTCTCTGTCAATTAAATAAATAAATAAAATATTTAAAAAAAAAAGAAGAAAATAAGGGAATGAAAAAGGATATCCTATGCAAATCATAAGCAAATGGAAATTATTCCAGTTACATCATTATCAACAAATATCAGTAAGGTAAGGTAGACTTGAAGACGAGTGATTATGAGGAGTAAAGAAGGGGCATGATAAGACGGGCCTTAAGGAACTTTCTGTACTGATAGAAATATTTTACATATTGGTAGGATGTTTACATGGATGTTCATACACATTAGTCATTTTATCAAAACTTAATTAACCAACTGAGCCACCCAGGTGCTGCAAGATCTTTTATCGAACTTAAGATCTTTGCATTTCTCTACATGAATTTTACCTTACAAATTTAAATGCTAAAGAATAACAGAAACCCAACAACCCTGTAAAGGATGTTGCCAGTATAATACATCAAAATGAAAGCTGAAAATTATATATCTGATAAGGGGTTAATACCCAAAATAAATAAAGAACTTATACAACTCAGTACCCAAAAAGCAACAACAACAAATAATCTGATTTTTAAATGGGCAGAGGAACTGAATAGACATTTTTCCAAAGAAGACATACAGATGGTTAACACACACATGGAAAGATCCTCAACATCACCAATCACTAGGAAAACACAAATCAAAACCACAAAGATATATCACTTCACACCTGTCAGAATGTCAAGTATCAAAAAGACAAAGAGGGGCGCCTGGGTGGCTCAGTCAATTAGGCATCTGACTCTTGATCTCAGCTCAGGCCTTGATCTCAGGGTCATGAGTTCAAGACCTGCCTTGGGGGGCGCCTGGGTGGCTCAGTCATTAAGCGTCTGCCTTCGACTCAGGTCATGATCCCAGGCTCCTGGGATCGAGCCCCGCATCGGGCTCCCTGCTCCGCGGGAAGCCTGCTTCTCCCTCTCCCACTCCCCCTGCTTGTATTCCCTCTCTCACTGTGTCTCTCTCTGTCAAATAAATAAATAAAATCTTTAAAAAAAAAAAAAAAAAAAAAAAAACCTGCCTTGGGCTCCACCCTGGGTGTGGAGCCTACTTAAAAAAAAAAAAAAGACAAGAAGCAAGAAGTGTTAGCGAGGATGCAGAGAAAAAGGAACCCTCTTGCACTGTTGGTGGGAATGTAAATTGGTGCCCCTACTGTGGAAAACAGTATGGAAGTTCCTCAAGAAATGAAAAATAGAACTACCATATGATCTAGTAATTCCACTGCTGGGTATTTACCCAGAGAAAATGAAACACTAATTCAAAAAGATAGATGCACCCTTGTTTATTGCAGCATTATTTACAATAGCCAAGAATATGGAAGCAGCCCAAGTATCCGTTGAACAATGAATGGATAAACAGGTGTGCTGTGTGTGTATATATATATATATATAAAATGGAGTATTTCTCAGCCATAAAAAAAAAAATCTTGCCATCTGCAACAACGTGGATGGAGTTAGAGGGTATAATGCTAAGTGAAGTAAGTCAGAGAAAGACAAATACCATATGATTTCACTCATGTGGAATCAAAAAAACAAACAAGCTATGAGTCTACATAGCTACAGAGAACAAAGTGGTGGTTGCTGGAAGGAAGGGGTTGAGGAGGTGGGCAAAATGGGTGAAGGGGAGTGGGGGGCACAGGCTCCCGGTATGGAATGAATCAGTCACAAGGGTGAAAGGTGCAGCACGAGAAATATAGTCAATGGTATTGTAATTGTGATGAATGGGGACAGATTGGTAGCTCTCCTTACGGAGAGCACAGCACAGCATATAGACGTGTCCATTCGCAGTGTTGTACGCTTGAAACTAACGTCACATTCTGTGTCCACTATATGCACAAAGGAATGAACGAAGTGAAGGAAGGGAAGTGAAAGGAAAAGCTAATACTGTCACCATTTGTGCTCTTTGCATGCTCCTGCTAACCCTCAGCCCATGAAAGTCAGTCCAGAGTCTTCTCCATCTAGTAATGCTTCCTATTCTGTAGTGCTTTCTTGCTTACAGGCCTTAGTTTTGTTATTTTCTCTCTCCAACTTATTTTATTGGAAGTTACCTAGCTTTCACCCCAGTGGCAGAGATTTTTCTCACAAATAGTAGTAGGAAAGCTTCATGATGCCAGATCTCGTCTGGCATTTAGTTTCACATCACCTCATATTTAAACAGTTCTTATTTATTCACCAATTCTTGCTTACCTACAGTGTGCCAGGCATCAGGCTCCAGAGATAAAATGGTATATACTGAGCAGACATGCTCTCTTCCCTCCTCGAGTTTACAGTCATAATTTCACTTTCTTTTGCAAAATTCAAAATAACTTAAAAGTTTAGAAGCCAAAGGTTAAGCTCATTGGATAAGAAGTTGCAGAATCTATAACTCCATATGTAAATTGTACAGTACACCAGATGCTCACCTCTGATGACAGTTCCTACCCATACTTGGGGGTCAGCCGCCGGAACAGAGAAGCAGGATGAGAGTACAGGGGTATCACATCAGCCATAGACATCAGGTTTCAAAGGCAGGGTCTAAGACAAAGATCTAGTTGGTAAATTTCTTATCTGCAAGCATGGGCATCACATCCACTGAGCAGGTTGCCCAGGATCAGCGTCGACTGGGTAAAGAGCCTCACATTTTCCACTTTTCATCTCACGCTCATCAGGAGAGGTGGCCTGTTGACTGAGCCCTGCGGTTATCCCTCTGCCTCCCCTTCCCATCCCTTCCCTCCCTGTCACCAGGTAGGGGTGGGGGGCGGCGGGTGGGAAGGGGCCATGCGCACAGAGTGAAATGCACGTAAATGAAATGAGAGTTGTACCCGCATTTGGGAATTGCCACGTGTGCGGATATCAAACAAGCGAGTTATAGACTCATCCAAGTAGCGAATGTAAATGTGTACTCATTTCTGTAGTACAATCAGCATTTAGATTACAGGCTTATCTTTACGGCACCCAAATGCAGCCACTTCTCTGGAGAACTATTTACAGCATTATTTTTATCTCCTGGATAGTTTGGGAAGCCAAAGTTTAAAGGACTATTGAACAAATGAGTTTGGGAATTACAACATTGAGTTCAATTAAAAAGCCTTTTTAGCTGAAACAATTGTTTATAGCACCATATTTAATTCCTATAAAACTGTATTGTAAACTATTTTCTGAGAGACGGAGTTACGTGAAAAGTTTCTTGCCCTTGGTAATTGCCGCTTCCTCTGCTCTGTGGCGCCGTGTCCTGGGCTTGGGCTTAAGACAAAGATTACCTTTTGTGCAGGGCCACTGGGCCTAAAAGTCTGGTGAGAAGCCTCTTTAACCCGCTTTCCCAATTGTGTTGTTTCTTCTTTGCCCTTCTCTGCAGTTTCGTGCCTTAGCGCCGATGTACTATCGAGGGTCGGCTGCGGCCATCATTGTTTACGACATCACAAAAGAAGTAAGCCTTTACATTTGCCATAGACTGTTTTGAAAGCTCTCTCTTGGCTGCTTCAGCCTCCAGTCGCTTTCGTGTTTTGTGTTGCAGGAGACATTCTCAACACTGAAGAACTGGGTGAAAGAGCTCCGACAGCACGGCCCGCCCAATATCGTCGTTGCTATTGCCGGGAATAAGTGTGATCTTATCGACGTCAGGTGCGTTACGAGACCAGGAGATGACAGTGCTGATTATGTGTTCCCTTTGTTCCTGAGCAATATCCAGTATAAGAATCTTGCTTTTATTTTATCTCTGACATTGAAAAATTCCTTTTTGTTTAGTTGAAGTCCTGACGTTTCAAACAAAAATTCAGAGTTCAGACCTTTGGGGCTGATTAGATGAAAGAGAGAGAGCGAGGCACAGGTGTGTGATTTATGTAAACATTGGTTACATCATACTTGACATTATCTGAGATGAGTGTAGCCCCCCAGGTCCCATGACGTCGGGTGCTTGAATGGGGAAAACATACATACTTTAAGGGAAACACATTTACTGGCAACTTCTCTGGACTACTTCCAGGATTCCCAAAGCAAGGACTTGACTTTGGCGGGAAAAGCAACCCTTGCCATCAGACAGATGCATTGTTAGTAGTGCTGAGTTCAGTTTTGTGCTCTGTAACCACAGCAGTGGTATGATTGGGAAGACCTCATGTCAGGGCTTGGTCACTGGCCGTTCATGACATCCTTTGTCATCACTAATCTGGCTAATGACTGGGTAGGTAGGGTAAGCTCTTGACGGGTAGAATTTCTGATTTGCCATTGTTGCCTTCCAGAGAAGTCATGGAGAGAGATGCTAAGGACTATGCCGACTCCATCCATGCGATCTTTGTGGAGACCAGCGCGAAAAACGCGATCAACATAAATGAACTGTTTATAGAAATTAGTGAGTATCTCTGTGCCCTATGGGTTTTCTCTTTGCAAAGCGCCTTAATACAGAGTTACACGGCTGGGGAGAATTCCCTCCGCACATCGAGTGGTCTGGTCTCCACCATTGTTCTCAGTGGAACGAGGTGGGAGAACATAGGAGTGGCGGCCAGGTCTCAAATCATGTTCTAATTGCTGGGGAGCTGCTGCCTCCCTTCTCGAAGGGTGTTGCTACCGAGTAAACAGTGCACAGGGCCTGGAAGCTGCCACCTCTCCCTCGGTCTCTCTGTAAATGTGTTTCAGTTAGTCATCCAGAGTCATCGAAAACAAACAGATCGGTAAAAGGAAATGAAATGCAGGTGTGACTCCACTGTAAGAAAACCCTCAAAAATGAAATACCAGGCGAGTAGAAAGTAGGGCCTCTTTTTCCACCCTTCCCCCTTCCCTTTCCAGAAGTGTTAACATGATGCCGCTAGATGGAAGGAGGCTGCAGCATCCCTTTGGGATCCTCTACAGATTGTATCTGTGTTTATTCATTTCATTCAAATTCATCAAAATATTTGTTGAGAACGGCTCCAGGCCCAAGGGAGACCGTGGTGAGCAAGACAGGCGCAGCCCCTGTCTCCTGAAGCACACGTTCTGCTGCAGGGGCCAGGCAGTGACACAGACACCATTGCGATCCCTTCGGATGATGCGCAGCGATAGGGAAAACATAATGTGGGATGAGGTGAAGGAGTGTCTGTAGGTAGTCAGTGAAGGCCTCTCGGAGCAGGTGATGTTGGAGCTGAGATTGGGCAGAGCAGGCTCTGCGGAGATGGGATTCACGTTACCGTGTCAGACTTCCAGGTAGAGAACAGGAGAAAGCAGACAGGGCACAGTGAACTTCCTGGGTGAGGTCAGAGGTGACCGAAGCTGGAAGCGCACTTGGCCATCGTGTAGAGGAGGGAGTGCAAAACCCAGCGCCCCACAAGGCCAGGCAGGGATGGGCCACCAGCACTGGGACATGGGAGCGGCAGAAAGCCCGCATGACCCCAACAGCTGGCACATGTGGGCCCTGCTCCAGCAGGTGGGGTCACACTGGAATGGAGGCTCCTGGTTGCCCAGTTAATTACTGGGGTTATTTTTATCTTTTTTTTTTTTTTAAAGATTTTATTTTTTATTTATTTTATTTTTTGAGAGAGAGAGAATGAGAGAGAGCACATGAGAGGGGGGAGGGTCAGAGGGAGAAGCAGACTCCCTGCCGAGCAGGGAGCCCGATGCGGGACCCGATCCAGGGACTCCAGGATCATGACCTGAGCCGAAGGCAGTCGCTTAACCAACTGAGCCACCCAGGCGCCCTATTTTTATCTTTTTTGATGACTTTAGTTTGTTCAGAGATCTGGATTTTATGTAATGTGTCGTGCTGTTTAGATTTGGCCGTTCAGATATTTTCAAAGCGCTGTGCAGGCCTACCAAGCCCATATGGGGCCACTGGCCTATGGGCCTGCAGCCTCTCGTCCAGTCCCTTCCCTTCTGTGTTTGAAGTCATGATGTCTGTTGTGTTCCTCGGCTATAAAGAACAGTCACCCAGATGCATGTTTGAAAGGCAACCTGAGGCCAATCGGGAATTTTTTAGTTGAAGCTAAAACATCTAAGGGCATGGTGTTGTGAGTGTGCCACAATTATCGGGTTTTTTTAAGTGTTCTTTACTCCAGCGGTATTAAAAACAGGAAGGTAGTGAGTTATGCCAACAATGAAAATTCTTATATAAAACTAGCATGTACATACTCATTTTAACTGTGAAAAATAAAATAAATACATGTTCACAAAGATTAGAAAAATTTAGAGAGATGTAAATTTAGTTTATTGTTTACTGGGTGTTGTAAAATTGCATTAGCACAGTGCCTGGCATGCTAACTTTTTATTGAAGTGTAATATACGTACAGAAGGGTGCTTAGCACTATAAAACAGAAGGAATTTCCACAAACTGAGTATACTCCTACAGTCGGCACTCAGATCGAGCCCCCAGAAGCCTCCCCCATGCCGTTCCAATTCCTCTCTGTCCCCCGCCCCCAAGGAAGCACAGTCCTGACTGCTAGCTCTTCAGATTTGTTTTGCCTGTTTTTATTCTTTATATTTTCTAAAAAACATACTATCTATCCTCTTCTCTGTCTGGCTTCTTTAGCTTGACATTACATTTGTTAGATTCATCCATATCATTCCATGACTCATCCTCATTACTGTAGTGTGTGTGTGTAGTGGGGGAGAATATCCACCGTGTCGTTCTCCATCCTGTTGATGGGCATGTGCGTAGTTGCTTGCAATTCAGAGCTGTGGTAAATAGTACTTCTGTGAGCACTCACTTCATATCCGGTGTGCACACTTTGCGGACACATGTTTCTCAGGTCTGTTTATACCCAGGAGAAGATGGGTGTGCAGGTGTTCGGGAGGAGGTCTTCAAAGTGGTTACACCAGCGGGCACTCACACCAGTGGTATATGGGACCCCAGTCACTCTGAGTCTGCTGTGTGTATCTTGATCTGCATTTATGATCGACAGTTAATGAAGTTGAGCCCCTTTCTGGATATTTATTTATTTTTATGTGAAAATATCTGGATATCCTCTTTTGTGAACTTTTGCCTATTTTCCTGTTGGGCTACCTGCCTTTTTCTTAATTATGTTTATAGTTTATTTTGGATATGAGTCCATCATTGATTATGTGTATTGGAAAGATCTGCTCTGTGGCTTGACCTCCATTTGTGAATCAACTGTTTCATAGAGCTGGGATTTTTAATCTTGATATAATCCAAATTATCCTTATTTCCCCTTATGGTTAGCACTTTTAGGTTCTAGTTTAAGATGTCATGGTCTATTCCCAGGTTATAAAGATGTTCTCCTCTGCTTTCTTCTAAGACTGTTTCAGAGATGGCATGTAATACCAGCTGGATTTCCATGATCCATTTATTAGAAATACGTAACAACAAGAAGCTTCAGTAAAGCTTTTAAATAAATTTGCAATTTATTCACAGCAGTATCTACAGGCATTTGAAAAGTAGTTATAGGACATTCTGGGGGACACTTTGAAGTGTAGACACCATGCTGTGTACTACCCTCCTGGCTTTCCAGGCTGCCCAACATGCTAGAGGCTCCAGGCTTGGTGACCAAGGACCTAAGAATTGGCAGCCTTGTTAGTGCCACAAGATGCATGTGTCTCTTCATTCCATGGTTTCAAAATCCCTCCGTGCCCGGTACTGTGCTAAATAGATACCGGAAACAAAGATGGAGAAAAAAGAACCTTTTACCTCGAAGAGCTTAGGGTCTAATTCAAGGGACATAGCTCTGTAGGCAAGTAAGTAATGTGCTTCTGGCTCCTGGCTGATTTTAGTGTGGGAGGTATTAGAGAGAGCTAAGAAGTGGGAAGGCATCTGGAAGGCCTTTGTGCATGGACACAGCCCTTGCGTTAGGGGCTGGGTAGGTGGATGGTGATTTAAGGTTTCTCCTGAAATTGACATTATGCTTCACGGAGCAGTAAAGGGAAACCTGTTCATTCTCATGCATTGTTGGTAGGAGAATAAAGTGGCACAGCCTCTTCAGAGAGCAATTTGGCAGCATCTGTCAAAATTTAAATTGCACGTCCTTCTTGCATTTGTGCTAGATAGACACTGGGAATATGGTGTGTGTGTCAGATAAATACCCAGGAGTAGAATAGCGTGACCCAGTTCTTCCACTCCTGTTAATTTATCTTACACATTGGTTCGCAGAGATATTTTTTACATTGTTGTTAATACCATCACAGTGTTGGAAACAAACTAAATACCCATCAACAGGGGGATGGATAAATAAATCACAGTACACCCATGCGGTGCAGTAACACGGAGCTATTAGAAATAGTGCTGCAGGGGGACCGCCCCCAGAGCGTCTCCAGTGGAAGCGGCAAGGGGGACAACAGTGCACCTGTCTGCTCCTCTCAGGGCTTGAGGAGGGGGCCAGGTACACGTGTGTGTGTGTCCTGTAGGCCTCCCTGCACACCTGTCTCTGGATGGTGGCTCTGCCCCGAGGCCGAGGGACAGCATGTTCGGATGGAATTACCAAAGTGCATATATTCCCTACTCAGGCTGTTTTGTTGGCATGTAATTTCTTTTTATTTAAAAACATTTTTACTAAATGCAATGTGGTATCCTTGTCCGGCCCCTGAACAGAAATAGGACATGAGTAGAAAAACTGACGTCGTCTGCACAAAGTCTGGACCTTAGTTATAGTTAGTGATGTGCCAGTGCCCAATTCTTCATGTCCACAAATGTCCCATGGGAGTTAAGATGCGGACATGCCCTGGGTGAGGGCTAGGTAGCAACTCTCTGCGTTATCTTTGCAACTTTTCTATAAATCGAAAATGATTCCCAGATTGAAAATTTGTTCAACTCTTTTTATTTTAGTGAAACCCGTCAAATTGCATCTGCACAATTGTTGCGTCTGCGAATGAACAGATTTGGAAAGTTAAAGTTCCTTCCCTTCCCTCCTCTCCGTCTAGGTCGAAGAATTCCGTCCGCTGACGCCAACCCGCCGTCTGGCGGCAAGGGCTTCAAGCTCCGGAGACAGCCTTCCGAGCCGCAGCGAAGCTGCTGCTGACCGAGCCTCGGCCTCCCAGACTTGATGATGAAGTAGGTGGTCCAGAAAGTTAACAGGAGGGCTGGGGTCCCTGCCGGCAGGTTTCGCCTCGCCGGTTTGGGTCTTCATGCAAAAGGACTCAGAGAGGTTGGCCAGTTCCGCTTCCTCTTTGGAGGCTGCAGCAGTAACATTTCCGTCTGCAGACCGCCGTCGCGTCACGAGTCTGGTGTGCAAAGGGACTGCATCGTTGGCTTTTGACCTTGCTGAAAAGGAACATGTAATTGTATGGATGGTAGGATTAAATTGTTGAGTAGTTTTGTAATCAAGATTTTATGTAACATTTGTAAAGGGAAAATTAGCACTTTCATGGTTCTTGAGGAAGAAAAGACCTTGCAGAGATTGTAATTTCCTTGGTTTCCCGTTACCACTGTTAGAGGGAATCGTATCATTTAAAATGTGGTAGGTGATCGTAAGTGGAGGGATGGCAATCATTATTGGGAGCTAAACTGGGTTATTTATAGGACTGATGGAAATGACTCCGTCCCCACCATCTCTAAAGCACTTTAGCCCATGATAACATACAGTAAATTAATAACGGTAACCACAGATGCATAGCTCACCCGAGGTTTGCATTCCAACCTCATCCTGTATGTGTCACAAAACACATCATTGGCACCTTTTTAAATAAGCTCTCATGATCAAGATGGTGGCGGTAGAGAAGCTGTATGGAATAAATTGAATTGCATATGTTTGAACTGACTAGCAGTGGTTTAAAAAAGAGGAAGAAGAGAGATAGTAAAGAAAGTGGTGTAAATTCTGTCAATTTTTTATTTAACCCAGATATTTTGGTGGGGAAAACAGTTACCTGTTGCTTAGCATATGTAAAGTTGTAGTCTATATTTATGAGACCATTGCTTAAAGATTATAAATTATGTAAATACATGAATAAATTCTATGTTTCACCCAACACTCCATTTAATCTCGCAGCCAGTGTCTTGGTGTGCCCACCCACCTCTCAGCCTGTCTGTGGGGGGCTCTGCTGCACATTTCTATTGGGCGAGAGCACAGAGCACTTGGCTTACAGTCTTTGAAGAGGTCTCTGCCTCTCCTTCCACCCACCCCTCCCTTCCACATCCCATCTGGAAATCATAATAAAGACATATGCCACTTTGACGAGCCTGACTAGCCCTTCCTAGCCTGGGGGTAAAAGATTACACTCCAAGTTCAAGTCATTTCACCTGGTCTTGGTAATAAGTTTCTTTTAGCATTTACAACAACCTCAGACAAGTGTTTCAAGCGAGCTTTCCTTGTTAACAATTCAGCTTATCTCTCCGTTTCCTTTATCCCCCTGCCTCTGTTAGTGGTTAACACTCTTTCCCTCAGGGAGCCTAATGAGGTTTTTAATATAATCTAAAAATAAAGCACTGAAGTGAAGTTGGTGACAATTTGCTCCTGGTCTAATTTGGCACCCTTCCAACCTGAGTATTGTAAGGGAAGGAAATTTACAAGATTAAGTAGGAAATGAAACAGCTTGAATTTCAAACTAAATTGTGTTTTCAGAGCTATCCTTAAACTGAACAGTTGAAACTTTTAAAAATAATTGTTATTTCCCTGTGCCCTCCACTTGATATGGGTAGATTTTAATGGGAAAATTATAACCCAGATTAAGTAAAAAGCGATTCCCTTTTCCCTGGTGTATATCTTAAGCATTTGAAATTATTTATTCTCTTGCTGAAATCATATGGAAAGACTGTAGTTAGGGAAAATTCTAACGTTTTGTTTAAAATACATGCGGACTCGGTACCCTCCTAGCAGCTTGCTCCCTTCCCACCATGAAATGAGCAAGCTGTAGGAAAAAACACATGATTCTAAGGGTGGGCTCTTGACACCTGAAGAGGGTTGAATTTCCTTTTCCATACATGCAGATGGATCAGGGCATCTGGCCTCGGCCGTGGTGTGTCCCTAACACTCCCACTGCTGGGCCTCCATCTCCACGACAACAAACAAAATGAAAACAAAGGGTGCTTGACTCACTACCAAGAGGGGGTGCACGGGTGGCCCTTTCTGTCTTACTTCACCGAAAGATGACGCACATCTGTGACCTTCACATTCTTCCCACCAAACCTGTCAGCCTGTCGATGATTCCCTGGGGCCTGGGTGCCCGGGGAAGGCCGCTTGTTTCCGTGCGTCTCTGACTGGCAAGGCGTCGGCCTGCCTCTCATCCTGTCCCCACTGTCACTGCATTTAGCCCAAAACAGGGCCGGCTCTTCAGGCCCTCCTTGGCTGTTCTTTCTTCATGACTTCTCACGCTCCTCCCTGTTTGTAGAGAGGGCTTCTGTTTGGTTCTGGCCACATGTTTTAGTCCCAGAATGAATGACGGGTGGGTGGCTCGTGCAACATCACTGTCTTCCTGAGTTCTGGGGCCTCTTCTCTTCTGCCCTCCTTTTCATCAGACTGTTTCAGGAATCGACGAGAACCTGCTTCTCATGTAGCGCTTTCTTAACCACTAGCCGCAGCACCTTGTCATCTTGGATCTTTGTGATCCATACCCCATGAAAACAGGGGGAAATGTTTCCATTTGTTTTGTTCGCTTGTGTGATGCAGAGATGGAGATTAAAGGCGGAAGCAGTGTCTTATTTTGAACATGCTTTGGATTAATAACCTGACCAAGCAATGATCTAATACACATTTCATATATTCTCAGTTCTTTCTTATGGGAAAAAGCCAGATTTCAAAGGAATTGAGACACAGCCCATCTATAAAAATCTTCTTTTTGGTTCCCTTCTGACAAAGGGCCATTTTAAAAAACTTTGGGGACTGAAAAAAGAGAAAAATCATTAATTAGCTGCAAGTGTATATTGATTCCTCTCAGAGAAACTGAAATGAGCTCTTTGCAGGTGCCCAGTCCTAGGAACCATCAGTCTCCAGAAATCTCCTTTCACACAAGTGTTTTTCCGATTCTGTGGTAACTAATTAACCATCATTTGGTGATTAAAAGAACATAAAGTAAGAGTATGATTAAGTGTCCTTCATTTTAAACTCTCTTTAAGAAGTGATTAGGGAGAAGTACCTATTGCAAGCCCTTCTGGTTCCAAATGAAACCTCCATCACCTGCTTTTCAGCCATAGGCAGGGTAAGTGCTACGCAGAGCGGCTGTGAGAGTTGGTTCCTTTAAAATAACACATGTCCTTGTTGCCCATTTATGATTCTGGTTGACGCGGACGCCTCCCGTATCCGAAGGTTAGCGCCTTTTGTATTAGAGGCTTGACCTCCTCCCTGGAGTGGGCTGGTGCCCTTCTCGAGGCAATCATTTTTCATTATTTTTTAAGTATTATTATAAAAAGGGAAGGAAGACCACATGTAATTTTAGAATTTCTCTTTAAGTCTTGTTTTGTTTTGTTTTGTTTTTTCCTCAAGAAGGAAAACAGGTCTAGGAGACCTTCTAAATTAAACTCTGGGAGATAGAGTAATGAAAATGTCCTTTAGAGAACCGCTCCATGGCTTTCCTGGAGATGTCAAACCAGACTCTCGCTACCTTCTCGGCAGTGTGTTAAAATGGACAGGTCTGACTCAGATTACACTGCACTAATTGGCATGTCCGCCTCGGGGCTTGAAAAGACATTTGTTCACCATTAGATGCCTCTTTTCTCTTCTGTGGGTGAGTTGCAAAAGAGGTTATATAAATTCTTACAAGCATTTTTTCCTACTCATTTTTTTCAGAACACACTGAGAACATGATTCATGGCCCTGCGGTTGTATAAGATACAGGTGCAAAGAATATTATATACAGCAGATGAGCCCCCACACACACACATTCAGATGTCTTTGCAAGAACCTATCTGTAGAAGTAATGAGGGAATCCTTCCCTTCTGAGGAAGAGCTACCGAGAGCCCCTTAACTCTGATACCTACCAGGTACCTGCTTCAGAACATTGGGGGGATGACAGCCCACACACTCAGGCTGGCTCTCTTCTCTAAGCTCAGTAGTCTGTAAATGTTCTTCCTGGCTCTATAAGGAAAGTTAATGATCACGATAAGCTAGATGGTGTGAACTCGTGGAAACATCTTCCTCGTTTAAATTTGTTGGAAAGGGACTGGCAGCATGACTTCTGTTTACTGTTTGACTTCAAGAGAGTCTACTTCTTAACAGTTAAAGTATTTTAAAAAAGGAAGAAGTGGAATGTACTTTTATGGATCAAGCTATCACTATATACCTGCCTTCAATTAGCTTGGTGCATGAAAAGCTCAACAATGATTCAAGGTGTGTTTAGGAGACTTACCTTAACTCCTACAGCACGATCATAAAAAAAACAGTCCAAGTAACAGATCTGTCCAGGAGATACACATTATAGGCACAGTTTTAGAAAAGGGAGGTCATGTGGAAATCTAGCCTAGGCGTGGAAGAAACGACCTCTGCCAATTTCTCTTGACAGCAGAGTTACTTGTCTTGACTTCCAGTAATAGAAATCCAGGCAATTTGATTATCGGATTTGCAAGAAACATTAATGGAATTCTGGGGCATTTGTCCTGTTTTAAGTGCAAATGAAAGTCTAAAAAATATTAGAAGGGTATTACATTTTTCAGGAGCCTCCGGTTTTTCAATCTAAGAGAATGATAAGAGAGACCTGGCGTGATGAAGTTGCATTAGACATAATGAAGAAAGTGAATAAATAAAACCAAGAATTCCCATATTTCTCGGTTTGTCCTTCAGGATGCTCTGAGTATATAGGAAAATGATTTACTTTCCAAATCTAGAAGGACTTCCAGTAGCATAGATCAACTTTAATTTGATGGTCTGCACCATCAGAAATAACTAATATCTGTGTTCTTTCCTTTTAGAGTATAATCAATTACAGATGCTAGAATATTTTTGGCTTCAAAACAAAAGGATTCAGGAGTTTAATAAAAAAAAAATTTTTAAACCTTCCATCTTCTCTTACCACATTGAACATTTTAGATAGTAAAATGAGGATGTACCCTCCATTGGTACTGGAATTAAAACCATGGAGTCTGAACAAATTTAAGAAAAAAATATTTCATTTATTGTTAGCTCGTTTTCGAATCTGTATGGTGCCCAGTACCTCATCAAAACGCTTCGTAAATGAAGCAAACCAAATTCTGGATAGCTTCCCATGAACAGGAATTCAAGTGCCCAGAATTCAGCTAATAAATGGGAAACCTAAGATAGTCATGATTTTTTGAAAAAGCCTTCTTTAACTGGTACTTTTAAACTGTAGATTCTTGATGTTCTCCTTAATCACGCCACAGAAACAGAACGTGCTGGTTTGATGCCACTTCTTGATTCGGGAGCGTGCCCTCGTTTCTGGAAGCAGATTGTGTTGAATGCAGGACGGTGAAGGAAATCACCTTTAATACAGCATATTGCACGGACGGCTGGTAGTCTTTACTCAGAACTGAAATGGCCCGGGTGGCTCCCAGGACAGCATGAGTCAGGTTGTGGAGAACGGAGGACGCAGCTCCTTGCCCACAGCGAGTCCAGAGCCGGCTCGGGCGCGTTGTTCAGCACACAGCAGCGCGGGACTTCGCCTCGGGGCCTCAGTCTCATGTCATTTGTCCTTTATCAATTCTTTCATCAAATCTGTGCCTGAATAGTGAGTTTTACCCCCTGAAAAATGTTGAAAGCGAGGCTGAAGTGTGCGTACCTCTGCTGACTTCGCATATGAGGTTATCACGGAGTTTCTGGAACTTTTCTGAATATGGGTCATGCACGTGATGTCAGAGTGACCGGTCGATTCAGCGCGGGCGGAGGGAATTGTGGGCAGCTGGCTAGTCAGAGCAACTGATTGGTGGCTCTATTTTTAAACCATTTGTTGTCTTGGGGGCCTGGGTGGCTCAGTTGGTTAAGCGACTGCCTTCGGCTCAGGTCATAATCCTGGAGTCCCTGGATCGAGTCCCGCATCGGGCTTCCTGCTCGGTGGGGAGTCTGCTTCTCCCTCTGACCCTCCCCCCTCTCATGTGCTCTCTCTCATTCTCTCTGTCTCAAATAAATAAATAAAATCTTTAAAAAAAAAAAAAAACCCATTTGTTGTCTTGTGTAGACAGGGCTGTATTGGCCTAGAAAAGATTTTTCTTTTTTTACTCTCATCCAGCTCAGTCTTTGCATCATTTCCACCTTATGAGTCGTTCACATAATTGTCAATCATGCCTCTGACCTTCTTAAGAATTGATGTCTTGCCTTCTCTGTGATCGAAACAGACTCCTTGCCTTATTTCTCTTCTTCTCATTTTGCGATGGGCTCTCCCTTAAAGACGCACGGCACCCGCCACTCCTCAGGGCACGCAGCATTGCTTCCCGGGCCGCCTGCCACGGTGGCCGCAGCGGGGTCCGGCGAGCGCCGAGCGCCATGGGGAGACGCAGAGGCTAAGTCTAGGTGAGGAGCTCCCGTCTTTCCAGAGAGGGAGCGGGCCGCACTAGCCGGCGGGGGCAACATGACTGAGGGACAAAACGGGCTTTCGAGTCGGTGACGAGATGGCTGAAGTGTCAGAACATTTCTTCGTCTGTCACAGAGCACCTGTTAACGTATGTAAAGATACACATCTAAAGTCTTGAAGAGAAACAGCTGCGGAGATGAGCCTAGACCTTTAAAAATAAATAAATAAAAGCAAAGCTGTCGTACCAGCAACTCTTATTTCTCCTAAGAATGTCATGCCTTTTCAAGACCTGATGCAAGGAGTAAGATATTTGTGCCTTTTTATAATAGCACCTATTATGGGGAAGGAAGAAAAAAACCAAACCATTACGTTGCTTGCAGGTTCGGCCGCTTTGTAGCCCTGTAAACAGCCCGAATGCGTAGCCACGCCTTCGCTGCATGACGTGTTGCTTCATCACCTGAGATGGAACATTGTAATGGGGATGGCCAAGCTCGCGTGGATGTCAAAGACTTTATTTTTGCAGTCTTTACCTTGGGCTGGACCTAAGTCTACATGTAAACCATATGATGTATGATGTCTGTATTGTTTGTAGATGCTGACGAAAGAAAACTAGATCTTTTGATTTTTTTGTTATAAGACTTTTCTTTTTATACTTAGGCTGGTAGTAGGTAGTTTGCAGACGGTGGTGGATTTGGCATACTTTTAAACTCTATCGTCTTAGCTTGACTGTTCTACGATGAACTTTACAGAGTATAACATGCTAAATCACCACAAAATTTGTTGTATTGTAAGAAGGGTGTAAACATTTTGTTAATAAAATGCTATGTTTACAAATACATGTATTTGCCTTTCAGATGGTTTGGTTTGGTTTCTCTTTTGTGGTTCGTCACATGCTTTTCTCAGCCAAATATTCTGAAGTAACTCTAATGCTATTTTTGGGAAACTGAAATGCCCGAACGTCGACAGCCACTGTGTATGGTGAGCAGCAAGGTGTTTTTGTCTCTGCTCCGCCCTCCCGGCTTCCTGTGTCTCCCTCTCCGAGTCCTTCCTTAGTTAAGGTGCGGGAGGGGGCTGGAGGCAGGCCGGGGCGGGGGGGCCCTGCAGTGAGCATCGGCCAAGTGAGGACCTGCGTCCCACCCTCTCCCCTGATCGGCGGGGTCTTGTCCAAGGTGCTGGCATTTCCATTCCAGTGTTGACTCGAACCCTGGAATCCCCCAGGGCCACTCACCACCTATAGGAGCACAGCTCCTCACACCTGTTTTCTCTTCGATGGCCCCCCTTACATAGAAGCACCATGTCTGTACGCCGTGACTGTCCCGAGAGAGGGCAGACGGGACTAGAGATGGACAGACCTGGGGTGGAGTCCCAGCTAGCCCCTTTCTAGGCTGTGTGGCCCTGGGGAAAGCTCCTAACTTCTCTGAGTTCCATTCCCTTCGTCTGCAAACCGGGGAGGTGATACTTGGGGAAGATACCTACGTACCTGGCATTCAGCACAGCATTCACAGAGAGGAAGCACTCGTGTCTAATTTGTTTTCGAGAGAGAAAGAGAGCAGTGGGGGCAGGGGAAGAGACTCTCAGGCAGACTCCACGCTCAGCACGGAGCCGGACACGGGGCTTGAGCTCAACCCTGAGATCATGACCTGAGCCAAATTAAGAGTCCGATGTTTAACTGACGGCGCCACCCGGGCGCCCCTCACCTATAATTTGCTTTTACAAGCCATCTCCCTGATAATCTTTATCTGATTCAGTTTAAAAAACTATTTGTCATTAGTTTGTTGTTTTTTACATTTCTTCTGAAGTATAACATGTATAGAAAATGCTATAAATACGGTGTACACCTCATTAAATTTTCAAAAAGGAGACATACCCTTGTAGCCACTCTTCAGATCACAAAAAGACATCATCCACAACCCAGAGGCCCACCCGGTGCCTCCTTCCAGTCCCTATCTTGTTTTCTAACGTCACAGGTCAGTTTTGCCTGGGTTTGAACTTGACATACACACCCTGTGGCTCAAGTCTGGCTTCTTGCATTCAACATGGCATGTAGTATTCACATTCGTTCTCAGCTGTACAGGATTCCACTGGGTGAATAAAGTACCATTTATTTATCCATTCCCATTCACGGGCACTGGATTTTTGCTGTTCCGAGCGTACCACCGCAAACATTCTTACACTTGTCCTCGGTGCCCTGTGCAGGTTTCTGTTGGACATACACCTGCGGGTGGAAAGATTGGGTCATAAGAGATACATGTATTTATAGTTTGGTTTATCTTTCCTTAATAGATAGTTTTCTAAAGTAGCATACTGATGTATCTCCCACCTGCTGTATGTGAGAATTCCAGTTGCCAGCATCTTTACCAACACTTGATAGAGTTTTCATTTTATTTTTTTTAAAGATTTTATTTATTTATTTGACAGAGAGAGAGACAGCAAGAGAGGAACACAAACAGGGGGAGGGGGAGAGGGAGAAGCAGGCTTCCCGCTGAGCAGGGAGCCCGATGTAGGGCTTGAACCCAGGACCCTGGGACCACGACCTGAGCCGAAGGCAGACATTTAGCGACCGAGCCACCCAGGCGCCCCGACAGAGTCTTCATTTTAGCCATCTTGGTAGGTGTGTAGTGGGGTCTGACGGTGGAATTTGCATTTCCCTATTCAATATATGTTCTGTAGGGCTTTTTAACCGTTACTGGAAGGGTTCCAGTACATACCGTAGCACATACCCTCCAGTATTACAGACGATACGTCCACCAACAGTGGGAGCTGCCCGTGGTGGACGATGGAGGAGGTCGATGCCGTGGGCGCAGAGCCACGGGCGCAGGGTCAACTCTCAGGTCCCCGTCTGGCTCTGTGGTAAGTTGGAGCAGGAAAGGCCCTATCTAAAGTTGAAAGGTGAACCAAAAACTGGGGAAGACGTTTCCTACGTATATAAAAGAATGGATTACTATCTTTAGTCTACTAACAGTGTCCACAAAACAGAAAGAACAACCTTCAAAAAGGGAAATGACCCGCATTTAAAGACACACATACACCAGGTTCCATACAAGAATTCCTGAGTGGACAAGAATAGCCCCGCAGCCTTGTTTTTAACTGCTGGAGAAAGAACACAAAAGAAGCAAACTGTCACGTACAGATTAGTGGGGACTTGCCCAATATATAGTTGAATGAAAAAGAAAAGATAACGTGAGTATGTATGTGGAATCTGACTCTGTTTCAATAAAACAAGTTACGCCCATGCACGTACCTTTACAAAGTATGTGCGAGCTTCTAAAATCCGGAAATCTGTCCTCCAAGCTGTTAGTCATTATCTCCGAGGAGAAAGGCTTGGATGACAAATGCCACCTTTCCCTCGCTGTGTGCTTTATATATACTTGCATCCTTTTTTACACTATTTTACTGGGTGCATGTGTGGGGTTTTCCTTATTAAAAACAAACAGGGGCCCCTGCTGGCGCAGTCGGTAGAGCCTGCGGCTCTTGATCTCAGGGTCCCGAGTTCAAGGCCCACGTTGGGTGGAGAGTTTACTTAATAAACAACAATGACAACAAAATTAAAAATAAAAATTCAGGAATTCCTGCACCCTAATCCCCTCTCAGATCCTTAATGGAAACTGGCTGAATAGATAAATGGAAGTGACATTCGTCTTTGTTTTCCTTTTTAGAACACACCTTCCCTTCCAACCCTTGTGCACTGCTGGTGGGAATGCAGCCTCTCTGGAACACAGTATGGAGGGTCCTCAAGGAGTTAAAAGTAGAGCTACCCAAAGATCCAGCAATTGCACTACTCAGTATTTACCCCAAACACAAAAATAACTAATTTGAAGAGATACATGTACCCTGATGTTTATTGCAGCATTATCCACAATAGCCAGATTATGGAAACAGCCCAAGTGTCCAACAATTGAAGAATAGATAAGGAAGATGTGGAGTATATTTTTATATACAATGGAACATTACTCAGCCACAAAAAGAATGAAATCTTGCCATTTGCAACAACACAGATGGAGCTAGAGAGTATAACACTAGGTGAAATAAGTCAGAGAACGACAAATACCTTATGATTTTACTCCTATGTGGAATTTAAGAAACAAAACAAATGAGCAAAGGGGGGGAAAAAGACAGGAAAACCAAGAAACAGACTCTTAACTACAGAGAACACACTGATGGTTCCCAGAGGGGAGGTGGGGGGGGGCGGGGGAATAGGTGATGGGGATGAAGGAGCACACTTGTGATGAGCACTGGGTGATGTATGGAATTCCTGAATCTCTATACACCTGAAATTAACGCTGTGGGTTAACTAACTGGAATTTAAATAAGAATTTCAGAAAAAGGTGGGGTAAATTTCAAAAAACACACACCTCCCCTTCAATGTGGTCAGTAAAAACCTTAGAGCCACATTTGGAGCAAGTGGGTAGAACTTTACAGAACAAATTTTTTTATTTTGATATTTGATGTAAATCTTTTCAAGCTGCCCTAAATCCTCTTAAGAAAGAGGGGATATAAATAAATATACGTTAAGAAGAAGAATATTAGTCTATAGCCTGTCAAAATAGTACTGTTGGGGAAGCCAGTCTCATTTATGGATGCCAAGAAAAAGAGAATGACTCTATGCCAAAAAGGAAGAAACAAATTAGCACGCACCCGAAACAAACAGGGATGTTTTAAATGCATACACAAAATAAATTTGCTTTATTTTTCCACAAGCAACTGGCTGCCTGCCTTAGAGCATGTAAGAACCAAATCATGGACCGGGGTTTCTAAGCAACCTTAACGTTTATTGCAGACTTTTTTTTTCCCATTAAAAGTTAAGAACTAGGGCGCCTGGGTGGCTCAGTCATTAAGCGTCTGCCTTCGGCTCAGGTCATGATCCTGGAGTCCCGGGATTGAGTCCCGCATTGGGCTCCCTGCTCGGCAGGGAGTCTGCTTCTCCCTCTGACCCCCCCCCTCTCATGCTCTCTCTCTCTCTCTCTCATTCTCTCTCTCAAATAAATAAAATCTTTAAAAAAAAAAAGAAAAAGATGGTAAATTATAAAATAAAATGCAAAGCCTTTTAATATTTTCAATTGTTTGGCTTATGTTAATACTAGCCACAATCATGATTCTCTACTGAAAAACGTCAGTGTTGTTTGGGAAGTCAGGCATCTCAGCTTTCTAGAATTTACTCCCCCCCCCCCCCCCAGAAGAATCAAATGATCACTTCCCTTTATACCCTCTGCAAGGGACCGCTGCTGGAGCTTACAAGAGAGAGGGAAGGAAAAAAGATTTGACAGCTAACACCTCGTCAGAATGAATCACCTTGTTAATTATGATTTTAACCTGACCTCTGGTCACTTCAATTTTTATCTTGAGCACATCCTTTCAGCAACTTCCGGGAAACAATGTAAACCTGCAGAGATCACCTTTTTAAAGTTGACATAAGCACAAATACCACTGTTAAAGGAGTGGGAAACAAGACGAGGACCAGAATTCTCTTCATTAGTACTCAGTGGAGAATGTTACCTTCAGGTCTCTGTTAAAATAAAATATATGGAAAACATAATGAGGCTATTATGTCTCCATTTCATTAGAGACGGCATTTTTAAGAAGAAAATTGTAGGGCTGTGAACATAAATGGGAGGTTAACGCACAGTCTTGGGGCACAGAAGTCACGCCCGTGGTATACTATCATCAACGTTCCCATTTCAATCCGTGGCTCCAGCAATGGGGTCGAGTGTCTTCTTTGCATATAAATGAGAACACATCATAGTTTGAGCAGATACTACAGCAGTCATGTGGGGGTTCTTCATCAACGGATTCAGACCTGCTGTCTGAATCAGTCAGTTATTACCGTCTGGTCCTCC